TGTAAAAAATATAAAACTTATTCAAATAACCAATTCTTTGAATATTTTATTGATAATTTCTATCATCATTAAATTAAATAACATTGAATAACATCATTAAATTATGAATATTCTATCAATGTAACATTGACACATTCCATTGAAGTTATACACATACAATATCTTCCATTGTTAGTCTCAAACTCACGTTTTTATTTCTTATAATATTGTTTAGTTGTCACATTCTACATGAATAGACATTCGTGAAAGAGTTATCATTTTCATTATCCAATATTTCATGCTCTTGTTGTTCACTATTTCTTTATTCATTTAATCTAATTTGTACTAAAGTGTTTTATTTATTCAATTAATTATTTACTTTACATTGAAATAAGTATTAATGATTCTGTTGTTTTTCATAATTTCATTTCATCTCAAAATGAAAAACCATCAATGCTTTATTATCAAATAATGTGTGTTGCATTTTGTTAATGGATAATTCAAGAGTGAGTAAATAAATACATAAAAAGACAATAACACATTCAATAAACAAAATAATGAGTTATTGAGAATAACATTTACTATAAAATCAAAAATTCGTGTTTTTCATTTTTTTGTTGTAAGAAATTACTAATTAATAATAAAAACAACTAATAAATTATTATATTTTAATAATCTATTTATAGTATAAAATAACAAAAAATTAAAAAAATCAAAATAATAAAAAAGAAAGAAACAATAAATATCACAAATAATCTAATATTGTTATTCTTTATATTCATTGATGTTAATATTTTATATTATATTATTGATTATTTGTATTCATGCTAAAGCTTATGATTGTATTCCATTAGGAGATAAATTTGAAGATGGATTTAATGATAACTTTTTTACACTATGCAAAACAACTAATAATGAATGTTCATATTATTTTAAGAGTAACTTCACTTATTCTTTAAATAAACCTATGGAATGTAAAAGTACATATTTTAATGGTAATTTTATAATGACAAGTTCAAAGGATTATTGGAATGCAAAGACTTTTTATATTCAAAAACATTCTCAAATTACATTAAATGGTAAATTTCATACAAGAGAAGAATTTAACATTGGAAAAAATTCTAAAATAATTTGGAATGGTGCAGTTTCATTTGAACGACTAATTAAATTTGAAACAACTCCATCATTAAATCAACCTCAATTAATTATTTGGAATAGTAATAGGATACATCTTTACAAACCAACTACAACATCAACAGAACAATTTGAAATTCAAAATCCAAGTAATAATGATCAATGTTTTGACGTGATGTCATTTAATAATAAAAATGCACTTGATTGTGATGAAAACACATATAATCATTATTCACCAAAAGACTTTGATAAAGGACTTAGTATGACAGATGGTACAGCATATTTACTATCAAATAAGAGGTTAATGAGATTTTGTCCAAATGGAATTACATTGAATAAAAATGTTATTTGTACAATGATTGGTACTGATTATTCACCATCATATTCAGGACGAGGTGATTATATATTTAATTATCCACATTGTCCATGTGATGATAATAGAAATGAATGTACTCTTAATATTAAAACAAGTTTAACAACAGTAAACTTTAACATGGTTAATATCAGCAATACAATTCTTCATATTGACCATGACATTACATTATATAACTTTGTGTATGCTAAACAAATTAATGTTGATGATAATGTTAAATTATTAATAAATTCACTTTCATCAATCAACAAGTACAACCAAATGATAAAATTTAATAATTTTGAAATTACGAATATTAGAAAACCAAATAATAAACCACAATTTAAATACAATTCAGAAACAAATACATTAGAAATTGATGGAAATAACCACATAAAACATTTATCAAATCCATCAAAACCCCCATTCAATTTAATTATAAATGGTAATCTCACTTGTAATTCTTTTGTTAGTGATTGTATTTATTATTTCACTGCTTCTTCTATATCAACAACACTAACTATTAATGGTAATGGTAATAATAATATTATGACAATTGATGAAAATATAACACTAATTAATCCATTTCCAAATTGTATTATTTTAACTGGTAAATCAAAGGAAGCATTTAAATGTATTAAATGTAAAAGTGGATATTCTCTTAATTCAAACAATGAATGTCAAGAAAATTCACATTGTATTAAATTAAATAATCAAAACCATTGTATTGAATGTGAATA